GGGGGTGGTGGCGCGGGCGGTGCTGCTCCAGGAGCCAGCTCTGCTGCAGGTGGGAGATCTGAAGCCAGCGAGGGCGGGGCGGGGGAGGAGCGAGTCAACTTCGTGGCTTAGGTGGTTTCAGGTCCGCCTCCCTGCCCTGTGACTTACCTGCGCCTATCTGAGCCACACCCACAACCCAGACCGCCCTCAGCTGACTCTTGAGTGCCAGACCTGGCCCCAGGTTCCCCTTCCAGGCCCTGATCCCCCGCCCCCACCGCACCCCACCCCAGCTTGAAGCTCCCGCGCACCTGGGCTGGGGGAGCAGCTGGGCAACGCCGGAGTAGGAGCATCACTGCCGCTTGGGGTTGCCACAGTGACTGGGACGATCTCAATGGAGACGGCATCCCCGGGCCCCCGCAGGATTCGGATTAACCCCTTTTCCTCCAATTCCTCGACCTTCAGCTCCAGGGCGGAGGGCCGTGCCGGGGCGGGAGGAGGCACTTTCTCAGGCTCCGGGGGACGTCTGGAGATGCCCATGGGGGTTGACTCGCTGAAGCGTTCCTGCAAGCCCCAGGGAAGGAATCAGTGCCCACCGGCAGGCTCCAGGCTCCGTGGCACAAAGTCTCCATCCTTTCCCAGGGTTAGGGAGGAGCTGTCAAGCCCAGAAACCCCAGCCAGCCTATTCTTAGGAGCCCACCCCAGTCCAAACCCCAGCCTCACCCTCAGGGTCTCCAGTTCCTTGCGGGCCTGGCTTAGCTGCTTTTCCAGTTCAGCAATCTTGGCCATGGAGTCGTTCTCTGCGTCCCGAAGCCGCTCTGTCAGCTGTAGCACCGGCACATGGTGAGCTACCACCCGCGGCCAGGCAGCACTGGCACCGCCGGTGAGGGGGCGGCATCAGGCAAGCCTGCCTGGAGCTGGGGGAGGCTCCCAGATCCGCTCAGCCCCGCGTGCCAAGGGTGGGCCGAGCCTGGTACTTGAACCTCAGTAAGAGGAGGGGAAACTAAGGACCACCGATGAGAAAGGTGGGTGGGAAGGAGGAGACTGAGCTAGGAGGGACCCCGGGCACCCAGTTCCTCCAAGTCAAAGCTTGGGGTCTGAGCATCTGTGGAGGTGGCGCCTGCCTTTCACATAAATCCCACACGGTGCAGGAGCTCGCTGAATACTCATTGAGAAAGACACCCAAAGGACTCAGGAATTGGATTCAGGCCAAACTCAGGGGCTAGAAGGACAGCCACCTCCAATTCACATCCAGAACAGTGCTTGCCCTTCAGTACCTTATTATGCCTTCAGGCCCTAGGACCCTGAGACATAAGTGTTCAGAGGGCTTATTACGCGCTGGGCTGGGTTCAGGACCAGCTCTCACCAGTGCCACTTGCTCCTGCAGCTCCTCCATGTGCTCCAGCACAGCATTCTTGGTCTCAGTGTCCTCCAACAGCGAACCCACATCAAAAATGTTGTCCAGATATGCCTGAATCTGCACCTGCAGCTTGTCACTCTCCGTAAGCCGAAGCCTCTGTCCCCAGATGGAATGAGCAGGGTGAGGCCTAATTCCGGGGGTCTTTCTGACCATTCACCATTACTGGGACCCAGAGGAAGGGGCCTGAACCCTAGCCTGCCTTTTTCTTTATTTTTTTAATTGAGATATAATTCACATGCGATAAAATTCACCATCTGAAAGTATATGCTTCAAGAGTTTTTAGTACGTTCACAAGGTTGTCATCATCACTATCTAATTTCAGAACATTTTCATCACATTTCCCCCCCCCAAAAAAAAAATCCTATACCCCATTAGTCACTCCTATTCCCTCCTCCCTACCCCCTGGAAACCATTCATTTACTTACTATCTTTTTTTTTTTTCATTCATTTACTTCCTATTTCTATGGATTTATACATTCTGGACATTTCATATAAAGAATCACATATGTAGCCTTTTGTGTCTAGCTTCATTTACTTAAGGTGATGTTTTTAAGGCTTGTCCATGTAACCTGTCAGTACTATGTCTCTTTGTTATGGCTGAATATATTCCACTGTACATACATATAAATTGAGACTGCTTTTCACCTTTGTCAATCTTGGCTTTCAAAAATCCAATCCCAGAGGCCCTACTGCTCCAGCCAACCTTCTAAAAGGAATCTGGGCAGAAGCTGCAGTTTCTCTGCTTAGGCTGGGCCAAGAAGCCCCAAGACCCCTGCCTACCTTCCCAGGACCCAGACCTTCCTGCCTAATATCTGTGGGCTCCCTATTATGTCCTAGAGTGAGAGTGGCTATCTGAGCTGGTACTCCCAGAATCAGACCCAGGGCCACTGGAGTGTATTCCAGTGCCTGCCACAAAAGCTGCTGGACTGAGTGCCTATCCTGTGTTGGGCATTGTTCTACACATTAGAGTCATTATTACTTCTATGATTTTCTTGTTTGACAGATGGGAAAACTGAGAGAGAGGAACTCAGAGAGAGGAACAGATCTATCCAAGATCACATGACTAGGAAGTAGCAGAGCCAGGATCTGAACCCAGATCTGCCAACCAGCTGGCCAAAATCTGTGTTGGTTGATGGTTATGTCGGGGGAAGGGGAAGGAGTGCAGTGCTCACCTCCAAGTACAAGTCCAGACCCAGATGAGTGAACTCATATTGCAAGAAGACACGGAAGTTCATATTCTCCACCGAGTGTACCACAATGTTGATGAATTGCATGCAGGCCACCTGGGGGTCCAGGAGAGCAAGTCTGTGATCCTCTAAGTAGGGGGTGCTCAACCTCCATTTATCCCCAAGTCTCCCTACCTCTCCATAGTATTTACTCCACTAACACAGTGTTGTCACCTCTATGTCCCCAATCTAGCCCTCTCCCCCCAACACCCACTCCTTCCCCACTGGCCAGTCAGCCCTCATGCTTTACTGGGGCAGAACCCAGAGCCCAGCCACTCCCTGAACCCAACAGGGCCTGGCCTGGGCCCCAGCCAGCCTCCTAAGCTCACCATGAAGTCGATATTGCTGTCCTCATTCCGGAAATAATCCATGAGCTTTTCAAAGCGGTGCTGTTCCCCACATACCTGGGTAGGGGGAATGGTGCTCACTGAGAACCCAGTAACACCTCTCCTAAGCCATCCTGGCTGTCACCCTTGTACGGCTACAAGGTCCTCATCAGATATATCTAAGCTAAGCCATGTCAGTCTTCTGCTGCAAACTCCACTCTCGCTCAGTCCCCTCCCAGAGCCCTCTTGTACACTTACTCTGCACGTGGGCACACTCCCGCCTCAAGGCCTTTGCACGTGCTGTTCCAACTGCCTCAACAATGACCACACCCACCCTCACCTCTCTCACAGCTTTGCTCAAGTCTTACCTTCTCAATGAGGCTCCCTGACCACCCTGCAGCCAGTTCTCCCCCAAGCCAGTGTCTCTTTTTCCCTACAACACTTGTCATTTCCTAACACACTATGTAATTTCCTTATTTATTACATTGTTTATTATATGTCTTCTCTGCTTTTTTGTTTCTCTTGCTTACTGATATATCCCAGGGTCCCATTCCTGCCTGGCTCATAATAGGTCCTCAGTAAACATTCATTAAGGAATGAAGGAACACATCCAGCTCATGCACCATATTCCCACACAACCACTCTAGCAAGCCTATTAGCCAGAGTGCGCAACCCCAAGATGTCAGAATCAAGTCCAGTTCGGACCTGGCAAGCCTGAGAATCAGAGGCTTAGCAGATCCCTATAGTTGTCCCTGTCCCAGTCAGCCAGTGCCCCCACCTGATTCTGTACCTTCCTTGCAGAACTTCCTTATCCTCTGGGTTCCCCAAATGCCTACCCAATATCCTCAGCTGCTCCCATCAGAGGTTACAACTACTAGCCCCAGGGGCAAGTATGTGTTTGGATGGGGACTCCGGTACCTCCTTGAAATTGTCAAAGGCTGCAAGGATGATATCATGTCCTCCCCGCACCAGGCACACAGCCGCAAGCAGCTCCAGCACCAGGGCCTTGGTTCTGGGCAAAGAGTGGACAAGTTGTCCCTCAGGAACCAGCAGTGCCCATAGCCAGGGTGGGCATGGCCCTGGCTAGAGGAGGACAGGGGCACTGACGGCAGAGGTAGGATGAGTCTGGGCAGCAGTCCTGAGAACTGGGGGACAGAGTAGGCAAGGGGTTAAGTAGAAGAGTCTACATGTGGAGACAGATTAGGGACGTGAACCTTACCGGGGGTTCTTATTGTTGAGACTCAGAGCAATCTCATTCACACAGGCCGGGTGGTTCATAACAAGGCTAAAGCCAGACTGGGGAGAGAAGAGAGGTCCGTCAGCACCTCCTACATATTTGATGCCGTGCCTTTCTGATCTCTAATGCCCTCAGCTTAGAAAGTTATTTTTTTTTTCTTATCTGACCACATCTCCTCAGCAGCAGCCAGATCCTAAAACTGTCCCTCTTTTAATTTGTCTTTTCCAAAGCCAGTGTCAGCCACCTTGGACATGCTGAGTCCTTAAGGGCTGAGAAAATAAGAGAGACAAGCTTCACCCGCAGGTTCCTCCAAACACGGCCAAATGCTCTCCCCATGGACCTTGCTATTCAGTTCCGCTTGGCCCCCAGGTGAGGCACGTCCTTGCCTCAGCCACACCCAGGAGCACTCAAGGGGATCTGACAAGGGGGGAGCAAAAATGTGGGCATCCCCTCAAGATTCATCAGCCTCAAGATCCCCTACCAGCCCAGATCCCCAGGGTTCCCTGCTGGGGCGGGGGGGGGGAGCAGGGAGAAGGACATTTGGTCTCCAAATATCAGCAATTTGCACAATCCCCAGTGAAGACAGCCCCCTCTCCCCAGCTCCCCTAGTCCCATGGCCACCAGCCAACCTGGTAGTTCATGATGGCGCGCAGGCACATGATACAGACGTGGACATCATCCTTCTGGCTGACGATACGGGAATTCCGTAAGGCCTTCCTGCTGTGGGCAGGGGTCATCCTGGGTGGGGTGCAGAAGACAACAGGTCAGAGCTCTGAGACCCAACTTCCTGCTCCCCCCACCACCACCAATAAGATGATCGCTGGAGTAAGAGAGGGCATATTTGGAACCTTAAGCCACTGCCTCCCATCTACCTATCCAAAGAGCCCAACTGAGGGCAGGTGGGCCTCCTCAGTCCTCAGGCAGGGAGGGTGGGTCGAGGAAGCAAAGACCCTTACAAGGACTTAGCACTAAGAAGAGTTGCTGTGTTTGGGGTGGAGAGAACTGAGAGAGGGGCCAGACAGATTCGGCTTGGAAGAAGCCATGAGAAGACTTTCCACAAGGTGGCGCTCGTAGCCACTTGGGCTCATCTCCATCTTGAGAGGCAGATTGTGAATGCAGAATGCTGTGGTTCAAGAACATTCCAGGTCACCACGTACTAGGCAAGTTACTTAATCTCCCTGTACCCCACTTTCCTCAGTTGTAAAATAGGTATGGCAATAATAGCACCTTCTTGACAGGGTTGCTGGGACTATGAAAAGAGCTCGGAACAGCTCTTGGCACCTAGTAAGGACTACATGTGCGTGCGTGCTCAATTATTCTTGGCCAAAAAAAAAAAAAAAGTGTGATGTTTTCATTTTTGTAGAACTGCCAACGGAGACTTCCACGTCAGTCCTCTTGGTAATTCTATCACATTTCCAGCAACACTAAGAGGCCCCACCTCCTCCCAAGTCCTCGCCTCTGCTTGCTACATCACCCGTTTACGTCATGACACAAATATGCTTAAGTCTTTGCTGTTCCTCCCCCCTGGACTGCCCTTCCTTGCCCCTGTTGTTGCCTATACAGCCTCTGTCCATCTTTAAGACATAGTTCCAGCATCATCCCTTCTGAGTAGCCCTGCTCATGCCCCAGGTCGTGGCCACCTCCCTTCTTTTTTTTTTTTTTTTTTAATTTATTTTTAGTTTTCGGTGGACACAACATCTTTTTTACTTTTATGGGGTGCTGAGGATCGAACCCAGCGCCCCACGCATGCCAGGCCAGCGCGCTACTACTTGAGCCACATCCCCAGCCCGCCACCTCCCTTCTTAAAGTTGCCACATCTCTGTGACAACCTGTCACACTGAATTGTTCCCCACTAAATTATGGAACCCCCAAAGGAGGGTGATCTGACATATGGGTACCTGCCACATACCTAATACATAGTAAGTGCTTTAAAATGTTTGTTGAACGAGTAAGGGAATGAATGAACAGAGAAATATTGTGAGAGTTTGGGGGTTAATATGCAGTTGGTTCCCTAAACCCAAAGTTGGAAGCTGGGTTCCACAAGATGCTCCAAGGTCATTTCCTTCCTCCTCCCACCTCCCAGCTGGATGCCCTATATTTAGATAAGGAGACCTACCACAGTAGCTGAACCCAAGGATGTCAGCTGAATGCCCCATCCAACCCACCCACCCCCCAGGGAGCTGGCCAGGCAAGCACCGGCCCCCAGGTGGCTACGTACCGGGGAGAAGGGGGGCACCTGGAGGCCGCATAGGAGAAAACAGGGGATTAGATGGGTACAAGAGAGGTCCTACCACCCCAGAAGGCCCCTCCTCATCCCAGACCCACCCAGGTGCTCATCCCTTAACATATTAGTGTCCTGAGTGCTATGTGAGGCCCTGACTCTGGTCCCCCATGCTTGGTTACCCCTCCCCAGCCCCCAGGGCCATGTATAGAGATGTCTAGATGTGACAGCATGGGGGTGACTTCTTCATTCTCCTGCCACCCTGTCTTAGGAACCACATACTTGACGGTCAAGTGGCGACTTTTGGGCACTGATGAGGGTGGCCCCTTGCTAAGATCTTCCACAGACTGCTCCAGGGGTTTGCTCTTCTCTGAGTTGGAGGCGCCGTTATCTGTGCTTTCCATGTCATACCTGGAGATACGATGCAAGGGGCTTGGAGGCCAGCACTGCAGGGGACACTTAAGAAGGGGATGGAGGAAACTGCCAGGTGGGCCAGATCTGCAGGAAAAACTGGGACAAGAGCAGGAGGCTGTGTTCTTGGCCCTGGGCTGAGCACAGCAAGAAGTGAGGGGACATCCCTCCTTGAATGGGCATGCCTTCAGGAAGGGGTGTGCAGGGCCAAGTACTGGGTCCCAGGGGGCTCCAACTATGCTGACTGGAACTGGCCAGAGGTGTGGGCTGAGGCTGAGGGACACATGGATCAAGGCTCCGAAGAGTGGCATGAGGGTGGGGTTGGGGGCTTACGTGACAGAGCACTGGGCAAAGGCCAGGTATTCCAGGAGCACATCCAGGCCACGGTTTTCCTCATTGAGAAACTCCTGCACCCACCTGTAGGGCACAGGCTCCCTGAGTCCCATCCAGGAAGTGTCCTGCTCGAGTTGTACAACAAGCACAGCCCTTGGATGGCCTTTCCCCAGGAAGACACCAACACATCCAACCTCAGGAGACCCAGTGATGCCAGGGGGTACTGGGGGCTCAGGCAGGGCCATGGTCCAGCCAGGCACCAAGCTGCCGACTGAGGATGGGCAGGAGCAAAGGAGGAGTGGCTGGACACCCACTAGGAGGTGGTCTACAGGCATAGCCTACGAAGGAGTCAGAGGAAGCCCTCCTAGACCCTAGGGGACCTAGGCCCTTGCTCACCCAATGTGGTTTGTCCTTAGGGAGGTCTCCAGCTCCCGCAGAACCTGTGTGGACTCCTGAACTCGCCTCTTGAACTGAGAGCCAAGAACAAGGAGTGTGGTGGGTGGAGCACAGTTTCCCACAGGCCATCAAGCCCTGAGGCAGCGGCCAGCATGCCCACCCTCCCCACCCCCAACACAGGGCCTTTCACGCTCTGCCTCCCCCACCACCTCCACACACCTGCCCAGCAGAATAAACACTCACAGGATGCATGCACTCCCCATGCATAGACGCACAGGGTGCACACAAGCTACATACACAGACGCAGAATGCACATACACAGACACACACACACACCTCCCCATAGACACACACACATTCCTATATAAGCACACAGGGCACATACTCATTTAAGCATGCACATCCCACACACCACCCTGGGGACATAGACATAGGGTATGCACACACCCATGCATGGACACATGGGGTACACACACACACACACACACACACACACACACACACTGACACTGACACGAACCCACAGACAAGTTGATTCACATGGCTGTGCCAGCTGCCCAGAGCCTAGAAGGTACAAGGGGGAAGGAGAGAATAAAAGGGGAGACATATACCCCCAGGTTGGACATCCAATCAGCTGCTACCTTTCTGCTGACCCCACCGGTATCCAGGTAACTCTTCAGCTTCTGGATGTAAGCGGCAGGGGGGTTCTTGACTTGAAACCGCTCCTGAGGAGATGGATGGGGGCACAGGGAGCCAGTCAGAGCTGCCCCGGGGCCAATGACCTGTTCTCATCCCAGTGTCCCATCCTCTGCTCTATCCTGGGGCTCAGACTGTCTTAAGATGTCTCTGAAGGACCAATGGCACAAACCCAAACCATCTAGCCCCAGGCCTGGCCTGCCCCTCCTGCTGTGGCCTCCCCAGGCCACAGTCCTCTTCCACCCACTGGTTTCCATGGGTAGAATGTAAAGGGTCCATCCTAGGGTAGGCCCAGCGCTAGGGGGGATTCAGCCTGAACAGTAGGCGGCACCTTCCCTGCCCTCCCTGGACGAGAGCTGGGAGTACAGACAGGGTGTGATAGGGGGACCCTGGCAGGCTGAGGCCTCTCCCCCAGGACTCCTGTCCCCCTGTGTTGGTAGGTGCCCTTGTGGGGGCTCCTCTTCTGTGTTACACAAAGCAACTCCTAACTCAGCCACCCTATCCCTGGGACAGCAGGGAGACTCCCACAGAGGGACCATGCAGAGACCCTCACCCGCAAGGGCTCCCATCCCTCCCATCTCAGACCCCTTGGATGTGCCCAGCCACCCCCCATAACCCTCTACTTCTCCAGCCTTTGAGTCTCTACCTCTGAGATGCCAGGCCCAGCCTTTTCAGCAGGACTCCTTCAGCCCCCCCACACCTCCCCACACCCACACACACACCCACACACACACCCACACACACACTCACAGCTCCACAGCCTCTAGAGGCCTCCGCCCTCTGCCACAGCCCAGCCTTGCCCTAGATGGATGCCTGGCCAACTCATTTCATCCCAGTCCATTAGAGGGAGGCTCTGTGGGCCCCCGGGGAGGCGCTGGCTCCCCAGCTCCCCACGCCCAGCCTCCACAGCCTCCGCTGGAACGTTGCTCCTGCCTCCACCTTATAGGACCCCTAGCAGCCAAGCCCCGCCCCGCCCAGAACTAGGAGGGGTCCTCCTCATCCACAGCAGCCCAGTGGGCTGTGAGGGTGGCAAGCCCAGGGCCTGGACCAAGCTCTGAGGGACCCAGGTCGAAACTGGCTGGCCGTGGTGGCTCCTTGACTATATCTCCTCTGAATGTGAAGGAACAGAAGGACAGGGAGTCCTGTCCCTTCCTGCCCCCTCTAATGGGCTCAATGAAGATGTAGGACCCAGGTGGACACCTCCCTTCTCCAGCCCAAGCAGGTGGGAAGGATCAAGGGAGGCTGCTCAAGGCCGGGCTTGGTGGCTCACACCTGTAATTCCAGTGGCTCAGGAAGCTGAGGCAGGAGGATTGTGAGTTCAAAGCCAGCCTCAGCAACTGAGTGAGGCCCTAAATAACTCAGAGACACTCTGTCTCTAAATAAAATTCAAAAAAAAAAAAACTGGGGATGTGGCTCAGTGGGTAAGCGCCTCTGGGTTCAATCCCCAGTGCCAATTTAAAAAAAAAAAGAAGAAGAAGAAAGAAAAAGAAGAAGAAGAAGAAAGAAGAAAGAAGAAGAAGAAGAAGAAGAAAAGAGGGGGAGGGAGACTGTTTAGGAAGCTCAGCAGGACAGTGAACCAGCCCAGCTGCCTGGCCAATGCCCTGGCCCAGCTCCTATCAGCTCTTGCTCATGACTCACAAGGTCTCTAAGGAGACTGGTGTCAAAGGGAGGGGAACTCAGAGTCCAAGAGAGACCCCCAGCACCCTACCCAGATGCCAACCCAGCCTCTAGGTATGGGCTTTGCCCCATGGGCAGTGTGGTAGTACCCGCCTCTTACCAGCATCAGCCTGGTCAAGACAGGATGCCCCAATGCCAGGACAGATGGGTAACAGAGCCAACCTGACACCCACCTGGTCACAGATGAGCTCCCACTTCTTCTCGTTGTCATACTGGCTCAGCAGCTGGACCTTGTCCGGGGGTAAGTTCATACAGTTCTGAGGAGGGGGGAAAAAATAAGACCCTGAGCCTATGGCCCCACAATGATAGGGAAGGGGAGGATATGGTATTCTCAGGGAACCCACTAGAAGATATGTCATCCTCTCACCTGGGAGGTAAACAATGTTATCCAGTGAGAAAACCAATGCCCAGAGAACACAGCACCTTCGGGCCCAACAACCCAAAAGGGACCCATTATTTGAATCCAGGTCTGCCTGGGCTCTGTCATCCCCTCACCTCAGCTCCCTAAAAAAAAATTAGCATGAGGCAGATGCATGCACTCGCTGAACCTCAGACACGTCTGGGCTCTAGTTTCCCCATCTCTCCTCCCATCCAGGTGGGAAGCTAACAGGGGAGCCATCTCCAACCACGCTTAGGTGTGGCCTGTGGATCTGAGCAAAGCCTAGGCCCAGGGCACTCAAAAGCCTCATCCTTCTCTGTATCTCCCTCTTCCCCTCCAAGAAGGAAGAGAGCTGAGGGCAGCCATGTCATCCAAGCTTGGAGTTCCCGGCAGGTGCATCACGGATGCAGAGGTGGGGGGATTTGAACAGGGAAGGTCACTCAGTCCCAGGAACTGGGCGGAACAGCTAGTACACTAGGCCTGTGATGCTGGTGGCCCAGCTGGGACTCCCCTCAGGAGCTAAGAAAGGTCAGCAGAACTCTGTGTGGGTCCTCTTCCTTAGCCACAGTTTTTCTGTCACCACAGGGCAAGCGTAGAGCCCAGCCCAGGGCTGTGGAGTCAACCCAGTGTTGCCAGCCGCAGGGCCTCCCTGGACCCCAGGACATGGTGAGTCTCCCTAATAGACTCAGAAGACAGGGCCAGTTCACCTCAACAGGGAAAACCCCAGGTTTATTGACAGCCTGTGCGTCAGACAGTTCTTGCCCTTGCGGAATTTCCAGTTCAGCCAGGGTCTCCACTGGTGATGTGGGAGCCCCCCGGGAGCCCCGGCCAGAGTCTGTAGGGCTCCTGTCCCCGGCTCTGTGGTTTAGGCTACACACTCTCAGTCACAGGGTTCTGAGGAGAGGCTACAGCTGGAGCAGAGCAGGGACCACACCCACCCAAGGCTCCTCAGCCAGCTTCCTCTCTTGAACGCTGGGCCTAAGTCTAGGGCTCTGGCTAGACTTCACCCCAAAAAATCACTGCCTTGAGTCATCCTCAGATAACAGGAAGCTGGGTGTTCTCAGTCCCAGTTGCCTAACCTTTCCGGCCAAGGCCTCACTTGAGAGGTGAAACTGCCCACCCACTAGACTCCCAGCCAGCTGGAAGTGGGGTACGTCATCTCTGTCCCCCACTGCTAAAGTGAGCCTGGATTGAGGAGTCCGCCATAGTCCCAACTTCTGTCCTCCCTGCCATCAGGCCAGGGCCTAAAACAGCTCCTGCTGTGTCCAGACCCCTGCGGAAGGGGCTTTCAAGCTGGAGGACCTGGGGGGGAGGGTGACCAGGCCATCCTTGCTCTGTCTCTCTCTAAGCCACATCCACCCCACAGAGACAAAGGGCAGGGCGGAGCTGAGATGCCTTGCCTCATGGCTGAGGGGAGAGGAGGAAGCAGGAGGTGACAGGCAATGCCAGGACCCTGGAGCAGTGGCACAGAAGAGGGAAATGCAGGGGTAGGTGGCTGAGCACCAGCATCTGAGCCTCAGAAGGGATGACCACTTCCTGACATGGGACTTCTTGGGCCTCACCTGCCCTTGAGACCTGTTTGGCTCTGGAATGGCACAATGGCAGGTCCAGTCATAATCTCAACTCCAACAGTCACAGTAGCCAGCTTCGACTGAGTGTGTATAGTGCCAGGTACCACTCAGCACCCAGAATGTTGCCAACGGCCTTCTATCTTCTCTGCCACTGTTGGTACCATCATGCCCATCTCACAGGTACGAGCACAGATTAGTGGAGTGACCGGCCCAAGGTCAGGATGCCAGTAAGAGGGGAGCCAAGAAGACTGAGCCACAGTGCTGGTCTCCTCCCCAAGGGCAGCCCAGGGTTATTACTGGGGAGGGGAGGTCTCTGCTGGGGCCTGGCACACCTGTCCCCACTTTGGTGGAAGGCAGGGCGCCCCTTTGCTCCCTCCCCACCTGGCCGTCCTCAGGCCCCAGGCCCACGTGCCAGCCTGCCAGACGTGCTAAAATTAGGCTCAGAAATCAGAAATAGCTCTGACAGCGCTGAGCACTAATTAGCAGCTGCTCCCCGCCTGTGACAGTGCCCACCGAAGAGACGAGTACCCAGGGAGTGGGAGAGGGGCCAGCAGATGCCACTCACTTAGGGTGAGGTGAGGCCACCTTGAAAACAGGATCAGAGCCCCAGACCTGGGCCCTAAGCAAAGGAGGCAGCATTGTGGATGGAGGCTGGGGGGACAAGAAGAAAGCTGAAGTTGCTCGAGTAGGACAGGAAGGGATAGGCAGTCCAGGTGTGTGTGTGAGGGGCACCTGAGAGGAGGACAGAAGAGGGGCAACTGTGGTGTGGAGCAAGTGGAGCTTCGTTCCAGAAAACCAACCCTACAGCTTCTTGGTCTCCTTGAGCCTCGGCTCCTGCCTCCGTAAAATGAGCACACTCCCACCACACAGAGCTCCTGGGACTGCTGAGTGCCAAGTTCTGGTTCAACATAATAATGTTCTTCAGCGACCCAGTATGGGGAAGAGGAATCTTGCAGATGTAGGGACATAGGGTTGGTTGGGGGAGTCCACAGGGGACCCCAAGGTAGGGCATAATAGGGTGAATAGAAGTTTGTGGAAACATACAGATGAGACAGGCGTGTCTCCAAGGGGCAAGGTCAAACATGAACTGGTCCTCAGGCCCTTTCCCAGTGCCCTGGACCTGATGACGAGGGAGATGGGACTTATTTCTTCTTTTCTTTTGATCAAGAAAAGAAGCTGAATCTTGCTCTGAGACTGTGTGGGAACCACTGTCCTCCCTCCATGTCCCTACCACCTACCAGAGAGCTACCCCACTCTCTGCTCACCCAAGACCAGCCCCTGCAGGCTCATGCTTGGAGCCTCCCACCCCAGACACCGTCCCACGAGTATTGACTTCTAAAGCATTGTCCCAGGAGACTGAAGGGCTCGGGCCACATCTGGACACTGACCACACCCTACAGTTTCGCTTTCAATTTGAGCGGAGTCTGCATCCCAACCCAAGAGCCTCCTAGTACCTCTGCCCTTTAAACCCCAAGATGCCCCTGAACTTGGACACCTACCAATCCCAGTGTCAGGCCAGCTCCACAGGGGTTCCTCAGCCCAGAGGGCCCAGAATCTGGGCCTGTCCCCAGTTCCCAGTCCCTATCTATTTTGGCTTCAAAGCTCTGGAAGCATCTGCAGAAACAATCAATAGCATCTACTCCTTAAAATCCCAGTATAGAATTTCTGGAACTCTTACAAGACTCTTAGGCTTAGCAGGGTGTGGTGGCGCACGCCTGTGATTCCAGCAGCTCAGGAGGCTGAGACAGGAAGATCGTGAATTCAAATCCAGCCTCAGCAATGGTGAGGTGCTAAGCAACTCAGTGAGACCCTGTCTCTAAATAAATTACAAAAAAGAGGGCTGGGGATGTGGCTCAGTTGTTGAATGCCTCTGAGTACAATCTCCAGTACATCCCCCCCCCAAAAAAAAAGAATTCTAGGCTTAGAGAGGCCATGGGTGATCTGCCCTGAATTAGGTGCTAAGAACCCCAAAAGCTAACAGCTTCCCCCACCTGAGCTCAAGGGTACCCAGGGCAGGTAAAAGGCAAGGAGCATGAGAACCAGGACACTCGGCCCTGCCCACATGACCCAGGCTGGCAGAAGAATAACAATAGCGATGATGGTGGTGACAATAATAATACTCCTGAAACACTTCCTCTGGGCCAGGTGCCATCTTAGGTGCTTTACATCTATTAACTCATTTAGACCTCAGCAACAAGCTGCAAAGCAGACCCCATTAGCATCCCCATTTTACAAATGGGAAACTGAGGCACGGAGAAGCTCAATGGTTTGTTCAAGGTGACCTCTAGAAGACAGGCTGGTTAAGAGACTTGGTTTCCTTAGGAAAAAAGGGCCGTGGGGACAATGAGAAGTGTGGATCCTGGCCCCGAGGGGTCTTCTGAAGACAACATGGCCCCAGTCCCCCCATCTGAGGAACCAGGAACAGCCAGCAGCACTTCCTGCCACCCAGCGCTCTGCACTTCCTGTTGTTACCCACACTGTGCTCTTACTCACTGGGGAACCCCCCCCCTCAGCACGCCCTCTGTCAGGGGAAGTGGAGGCCTCCCCACCCCCTCCTCCTGTGCACACTTCTACCGTTAGCCCCACTGCTGCCCCACCCTCCAGGAGAGGTGGCCTCCCTCTCGTGGTTTCCGGCCACCAGGCAGTTTTCAGTATGGGCCTTGCCGTTGCTGACCTGCATAATGGCAGGGAGGCAGCCTGGCCTGTGATGGCTAGAGATCTGGGGGGGGCTCCTAGGGAACACCTGACACCTGTGGGTGCACTTGGTGAGGGAGACGGGAAAGGGGAAATCAGGGTCTAGGCTCCTTCACGGAGAAGGGCCCCAAGGTGGAGAGGACCAGGCCAGCTTCACTTCCGCACAGTGAAGAGCAGTTATTAACACTTGCTCCATGCCAGGCGTGGTGCTGAGCACTTGATTGAATCTCCTCAAAAATCCTAGCAGGTGGGCAGATACCTTTAACATTGTCTTTTTACACACATAAGGAAAACTGAAGCTTAGGGAAATTAAGTAACTTGTCCAAGGTCACGCAGCTTAGTGAGGAGTAAAGAAAGAATTCAGCCCTTAAACTTCATGACCCCAGTACCCAGAAACCTTCCCTGCCTTTCTCCTGAGTAAACCCTGCTCCCTCAAAGGCAGGAATATCTAAGTCGACTTCTAGAATTCTGTATTCCCAAAGGGAAAAAAAAAATGCAGAGGTGGTACCAAGAACAGCCTCACCTGTTCCTGCCCATCTCACCCAGCTCTTTGCCAACGGCTCCAGATGTCACTGTGAATCATGCCCACCACATCCCTGGGTTTCCAGGGTCAGCATATGCCAGCCCTGCCTGGGAATGTCACCCACAGTCTCTGCCCAGCCCAAAATCTGACCACAGGGCCACACCTCATTAAGATCTTCTGTGGAAGACACCCCAGAGGTGGGAAGCACAGGGTCTGAGCTACATGCCCTCAAACTTCCTCTGCCCACCCGCTGGAGGGAACTGGCCAAGGATGCACACCTCAGTCAGACTAGAGACATACACTCCTGCTCCTCACCATCAGCCCACAGGGAAAAGGGCCCATCCTGGTGGCAGGACTCCAAGGAACCTTGCCCTGCCTGCAGCTGGGCTCAGTGCCCCACACTACCTGATCAAGTGACCATGTCCCTGGACACCAGTCTGAGCACCCCAGGTGATAGGCCCTCATGGGGCAAATTCCTCTTCAATGGCTCAGTCCCCTCTTGGATGTCAGCGTCACTCTCAGCCTTGGGACATCATCCCAGGCTCCTTCCCTTATCCCTTTACCCCAAGGCCACAGGCTCCTCTCTGCCCAGACAGATCAGGGGTGTCCTGTACACATGCCACTCTGGCAGGCCTGTAAAGGATGCCTTGTCATCCAGATCTGTCACCCTACTTGCCTCAAAGGAGAAGGCACGAGGGCTGGAAGACACCCAGCCTTGGGCTTGGGCGTAGGAGAGGCGAGAGCTCGGAGCCTGGCTGGCTGGTGTTCCCACCATCGCAGCAGGCCCATGTGGCTGGGCAGCCATCGCTCCTCCACGGTTGCTAAGGCAGCAGCCAGAAACCCTGGCTCAACCTGCTCTCTCCCCATCAGCATTTTAAGCAGGGGCAGTCTTCTCTCACACAGCCTTCTTGGAAAGGTTGTGCCCCTCTGTTCACCCTTGCATAGGAAAAAGCCTGCTTGTACCCTCTGCCTGGCTCTGGGCCTTGGTGAGAGTACCTGTCATCTAGGAGCCTCACCAGTAAGAGAGAAGGAAAAGTTAGGGGTGCTGGGATCCTATTAACCACCAGGAACAGAGAAGGGGCCAAGCTGAAGCAAAAGAAAGAGGTTCCCTGAGGCCAGGTGACTAGAGCCAAGGTAAGGTACCTTCTCCCATCAAGATTGGAGGATCCCTGAGGGTGGTGGCCCCCAGTCATCTAAGTTTCTTCCCATGAACATCAACTAGCAACAGGACTCAGCTCTGGTCCCAGGGGTGGTGGTCAGATGGGAACCACTTGAAACAACCAATGCCAGACCCATGGGTTCACCCAAAGCCTCTACCCTGGGCAGCACAGGCAGAGATCAAGGCTGTCACCCCAGGGTGGAGTTCATGCCCCAGTTCACAGAAAGTAAGAAGAACCAGGTTCTTAGCCAAGTGACCTGAGGTTGGGTTCATTCTGCCCACAACAGGACAAGGCATGGGTTGTCCCACCCCAAGAAGATGGTGTAAACACACAGGGGTTCTGGGGGTCAGGGAGGAGTGGGGCCCCCAATGAGTGCTGCTGCCTTAGATTTCTCCCCAGCACCAACTCTTTCTTCGCCAGGATACCCTTTGAGATCACTGGGCCTCCCTACTTCCATACCCTGGTACTGGCAGGAGAGCAGGGGGCCAAGGTGGGGGTGGGGGTGTGTGCAGTGACATTTTATGTCAGGCTCAAGCAGTCAATTGCAGTCACAAATCTAAGCAGGGCAATCAAGTCCTATACCTACATCAGAACATCACCACTTGACTTTTGGGTTTTCCATTGGTCTGAATTATTCACTCCCATGGCTCCTCCCCCCATTAGTGTGAATAACAGAGAGCAGCCTGGAGCCTGGACCTCAGGCCTGAAGAAGCCTGCCCCACCCCCACCTACAGACACACATTGCCCCACCATCTGGGGAGTTCAGAGTGGGAGTTCAGGGATCCACCACTGATGGATCCAGAGACTGTGTCTCCATGTGCCCCTCCCCCATCTGCTCAGCTCAGTTTAGCTTTGCCTTGTTCTGTGGAGGTGGGAAGTAGGGACAGGTGGAGAGATGGGGAAAGTCTGGGGTTAGTGTGGTGTGAGGTGTCCATCAAAGTCCCTCCCCTTCCCCTTCAAGCAAGGCTCCTTCACAAGGATAGACCGCACCCCACCCCCAGAGTTCCTCCAGATCCCTCCTAACCTTCTCCTGGGAGGGGCAGCATGTGACTCTCAGGAACCCTTAGGAGGGATCTAGCCCTGCAGATGATCTAGCAAGTAGGGCTTAATGACTAGACAGAGAGAGGAATAATGTCTAGGACAGGGTGGGGACAAGCACTGAGCCAGCACTACTCTGCTCCTTGTGCCTGCCTTGAGCCCCCACCCTCAGACCTGCAGTGCCAGCCTGCCTAGACTGGGAAGTGCCTCTGGGAAACAGCCCAATCTTATTCTCCTGTCACAAAGTATCCAGCAAGGGACAGTTGACAGCAGACAGGCCACCAGGCAATTAGAGAAAGGAGCAGAGAAGAGGGCTGAGGTATGGAAGGGGAAGTGAGAACAAGTGGCCCTGCCCTCTCCCTACTTCTGCCCACCAGTCTTAAAGACCCCTGACTTCTATGGAGTCCCCACAGCACCAAACATATTTTGACCTCTCCAGGCTCAGCCTGAGTTGATGAGTCCCTCCGCAGTGGGCTAGGCTTCAGCGTCCCCACACCAATTCCCCAGGCAGGTGACAGTGGAAGGGGGCTTCTGACTTTTGCTCCACCCCAAGTCAGTGGCCAACCCATCCTGACCCCGCCCTTCCTAATGTACTCCTTTCAGTAGCTAGGAGGGGATGCCGAAGACCTGCCCAGGCATACGGGGAAAGTGAGAAATACAGACACCCCCCTCTGCATGATCTGACAACCCACTCAGCAGCCCGGGGCACCCGAACACACCAAACACTTGCTCTAGATCAGCGGCTTCCAGAAGGTTAAATTGTAACCCCTTCCATCTTTGACCCGGAGACACAGAAGGGCAAATGCTGGAGACCCGCACCCAGTGGCTGGGCCTGCGAGCAGTGGGGAAGGGAGTGCCTGGGGGCCCCTTGCGCTGCGCTCCCATCTTCCTCACAGGACATTTTAAGGACCTTTAGATCGGGGAGCATGAGGGTTGTCTAGGGAGAGAGACTGGCGAATGCAGAAGAAAGTTTTGGGGGGAGTGCTAAGTCACTCTGAAAGAAGCCACTGTCACTGCCATCCCTGGAGGGGGCAGCCGCTGGGCGGGGGATCTCCAAGCGGCACCTGAACCCCCGGGGGCGGGGACGCGTGGCGAGCCCCTGCCGCCCCTCGCCCGCGCCCTGCGCGTAGCGGGTCACACTCACCAGGACCCGGTTGAACCTCTCCTCCAGCTCCCCGGCCGCGGGCATCGGCTGCTTGGGGGCGGCCGGCTGCTTCGGGGACGGCGCGGCAGGGCCCGCGGGCTGTTCGGCGCTGCCAGCCGCGTTGCCCATGGTGGTCCCCACCCAGCCGGCTAGGCGCCTCCAGCCTCGGAAATCCAGCTTTCCAGGGGACCGGGACGGGGCTCCCAGCCCAGGTGGCGAGGGTCAGCAGCTCGCGGCGACGCGGGCGCTTGGCTCAGCGGCGCACAGGGGTCGGGGCGCGGCGTCCCATCGGGGTGGCCCCGTCCGAGGGAGCGCGGCGGCGAGCTGCAGGGTGGGGGGAGGAAGTCAGGCTGCAGGCCGCCAGGGCCAGAGGGC